ATTTCCACGATACGAAAGAATATGCGGTCATCGAAACTGATTAATTAATCAATCTGTTACTTAAAATAATTAAAATATATCCAGGTCCATAACTATCAACCAAGAAACGCAGCAGTGTCTCTCAACCACTCGTAGTAAACTGAAAATACATAACAATTAGAAGTTGAAAAATTGCAACAATTTGCGAATGGCAACTGTTTATATAAAATTTATGACGGCAGAAAATTATAAGTGAAATTTCGATTCTCGCCTGTCGTTCTTCTGCTAAGCTGATCCGTGCGTTTCTGCGAAAAGAAAGCTTTGGCTCTTCGAGCGAATGCTCTTGACAGTCAACCCACTGTGGTAGGATCTTTTCTTTCCATTTAATTAGATGCTGAAGCGGCTTGTGGTCAGCTTTCAACTGCAGTTCTTCAAAGAGACGGGTTTTTTATTTTATGCTGCCGAATGCTACCTTACGAAGACTCAGGGACGAGATCCACAAGGCGAATAGATTTGCGCACTTCTCTTCGAGGTTCAGTTCCTTTATGATTTCCCGTTGCAACTCGACTGCCAGCGTCTCCTTGCCGTTGATTAGCGGAAGCATGATGTTACTTCCGTCAAGCAAGTCGATTTGAATTTTTGGCAGCTGAAATGGCAAAATTTAAATTCATCTTTTATAGAAGATGCAAGCAGGTTGAAGGACTGAGCACAATTTATCCATCACTCGAATTAATAAAGTTAAACTAAACATCTACGAACTGAAAAAGAGTTTACTTAGTCTGTGAGCTCTCCACAGATCTCACTTTGTTACTCATAAAATGGAAAGAAGGTAATGATCAAAATGAGAGATTATATGCCACGAAGAATTACATGTCCACTGCAAATATGGATATAATATTTGCTGGCAGTTCCTCCATGACTGTGTCACTGCTGAGCGACCACGAAAATGATTTAAACCTATTAACTATCACAGAAACAAGCAAACTAAAAATATACCAGATGAATAACGCAAGAAGAAAGCTGTCAACAGAAGAAGAATGTGCATTTCCATCATATTAGCATTATTCTGTCGTAGCCGAAAATTTTTTCTTCATCCCTTACCTTTCCATCGTTAGAATTCTTCAACAACGTCGCCACTGCCAGCCAGTCTTCCTTTGGGACACAGTCGCACAAATCCGCTGGAGTCTTGCCATCGTTGTCGCGGATTGTCTACAAAATAACGAGCAGACAGTCGAACGTTGCCCGATGTTGCTTCACCTACTACCACTACTCACCACATTTATGTCAGGATGGGTAAGTAACAGCTCGGTCACGTATCGATGACCGCACCAGGCTGCGAAATGAAGCGGCGTAGATCCGTTCTTATTCCGCTGATTGACAGAACAGTTGCCGTAATTTAGCAGCGCCTTTACGGCTGACAAGTTCCCGTACCTCAACAAGGACACAAGTTAGTCGTACAACGAAAATACCAACTCTGTGTACAACTCTGGAACTGTAGGTATATGTGAATAAATGCTTTGCGTGCATGTAGTGTTCTATATTCGACACAGCTGCAAAAGTTATCCTGTACCGTAATGCCGATGATGCGAAGCTATGAGGAACCCATCCAACACAGCTAATCTACCAATGGAACAGATAAACGAAACGGTATACGTAGTCAACCAATTAAAATATCTCTGCTCAATCATGTTAGGCAATGAATGTTAATATACCGAGTACCTCCGCTTCAAATTCGTTTGATAACTTGTCAAATATTTTGCCTGGAAACAAACACACCTTTTCCACAAAATCTAGTATGTCTTGCATTGGTTCTGTATGGCATGGAAACGGTTGTTCTAACGTAGAACCAAGGACGACGATTGAACTCCAAACTTTTGGTTTCAGTGGGTATGACTGTTAAATGGCAAGACAATGTAACGAATGACTATATTCCGTACGGCACAGGGGTGCATTGTAGACGAGGAGGTTTGTTCTCTTCGACAAACTGGTTAAACATAAACCATTTACTCCAGCTCATGAGCGTCTCGTGTGGGGTTAAAAGACGACAAGGAGGCTACGATGCAATGTGAGGAACAAACTGAAGGCAGATCCGCTTTCTGAGGGGAACATTTCCTTATAGCTTGCAGTAAGCACTGCCAATGACATAAATGCTGAAAAGCTGCAAATGCAACGGACATCACAAACCAGAGACGTTCTGCTTCTGCAAACGGCTCAATGTGCTGAACATAGAAATAGCAATAAGAAGAAAATAAATATTGAAGGGAGGATTGCAAGCTATTACCATACATCAGTTATAAATCATGATAAATTTCTGAAACTTAATAATGACTTTTTATGCCATGCAAACTAAATCCTTGCTTGATGCGACATTTCGGTTTAGCTTCAAAGACGGAAGACATCGCAACAGATGTCTGATGATGATCACATAGAAAACAGCGCAAAACACGGCTTATTTATGAAGACCTTTTGACTCTGAACATATCGAACTACTGCAGATGAAAAGGAGCTCAGCTTCTAAATCTACCGAACTCTTTGTCTTGAGAAAGACACGTAATATACTGACTAAAACGTCAGTCGATAAAAGTCAATTATCCGGCTGACCAGGCTGTTTGTGATGTATATAAATGAGCCGTGTTTTATATTGTTTTCGCCATGAAAACAAAATATGAACTGACTTATATCTCCAGCATTTCTGACTGAAATTTTTTGTGAATTTTTTTGGAGACATCCTTCCTGAACGTTTTTTTGATATCATGCGTATCAGTGGATAATTTGTCACATTCCCACCATCCTGAGTGAGTTATTTAAATGTTCCAAAGCATACGACAAGGAATCATGGAACTTCTGCCTAAAAATAGGAAAGAGAGAAATGATAATTTTTGACAGTTCACTTGTTTTCATTTCTTCTTCCGTTTCAGCTAACAGAGGTCTTTCGAACACAACAGTTTGATATTATGAGACATTTCTAAAAATTTGAATGCAGTGCGACAGTACTGACCAGGAGGCGTAGTGCAACGGGGTCCAGGAATCTCTGTCCGGTTGATTAGGATCACAGCCTTGAGCGAGGTAATGCTTGATCAGATCCGGCTTATCAAGGTAGGCGGCACGATGGAGCGGATAATCGTCCATCCAGCTGCCAGACTCGCTGCTATCGTTGCTGGAGTGAGTTCGATTGAGGGATCGCGGCGATAGCTCTGGCCTCCCTTTAGCGTAGTAGTCGACAATCAACTGATCCTGCGCCACTTTGTAAGGAATGCTAGATCCGAAGAGTGGATTCATGATGAACACATCGCATTTGTCAAGCGCCATCATATACGCCAAAACAACGTTCGCGAAGCGCACCTCCTCTGCCAAATCTGAGGTATTTGACATTCCGTCGCGAGGATCATTAGGCATGCCCTCTTCTGTCGAATCTGCGGTCTGTCTCCTGAAGCCGTAGAGCTTTAGCACAAAAACGGATCACAATTTAATGAAGTTTTTCAGTACTTGTAACACCAGCGAAATTCCTTGAGGTGGGCCGGGTTGTGAACACATGTTTTCAAGCGATTCGCCGCGGCGCTGCGATAGAACAGGCTGCTGACGAAGTGAGTATCGTTTTCGGCGCGTTCCTTCAGCCATCTAAGGACGAATGACACTATTAAGACCTGCGTTGGCCCTTTCATTTCAACCTACTCGTCGACACGCAGAAGCAGGTGTCTCGACTCGACGTCGATGTCGCAGTCTGGTGCTTGGCAGCAGCAAAGAACTTGAGCAAACGGTACGAAAGCTGTGGAGGGAATACTCGACGCCTTGCAAACGTCATCTAAAATAGAAATCGGTCAGCAGAGCTCGATGAACAACGAAAAGGATGGAACAGGAGCTGACAAATTAGACGAAGAACGCACCTTGGGCAATTCTTGTGTGTCATACGATAGGCACATCACTGCCCTTGTGACAGCTGCTCCTTTGTTTCTCGTTATCGAGGATGCAACCATAATCTGATGCGCATTGAGCTCCTACGCCTTTTTCATTGCATCGCTCAGCCTCATCGACTGCTGGTTCGTTTAAGAAACTATAACAGTGTCTTGCCGAAGCGAAGACCCTACAATGCACCAAGCATTTTTCAGTCACGTTTTGCCTTATTGAAACCAGAACCAGAGACGTACCCCTCAAGTGGCCCAGTATCCTTTTGGAGCCGTTAACGATACTAGTCGAAGTTGTCACAAAGAAAATGAAGCTAGTCCTTCGTTACATATAGAAACCAGCCGGCGCTGCTGTATGTTCTTTAACAATTGTTTTTTGTGTATGCCGTGACCGAAGAGAAGCAAATAAACGCTTCTGTAAAAAAGGATATTCCATTTTCAGCAAAAGCGTTGGAAAAACGTGAATCTTCTTTACTGAACACTACTTGGCTAGAAATTATAGACCCAAAGTAATCAAACCGGTCGGCATTATTCACCGTTTCATCACGATGTTATATTTTTGTGTTGCATAGATTCTTCACAACTTCAGATCGGCGTTAGCAGCGGAATCGCAGATGGAAGTTGCCAAGTGGTAAAGTCCAGTTCTCTTTTGTTCATCAGTCAAAATCCTCTACGCACACCAAATCAGAATGATGCCTTGCTAGATATTCTGAAGTACTCAACTCCTAAAATGCTAATCTCATTTAATCTCTGTCTCTTGCTGAGTCATTCCTGCCTTTGCTATTAGAGTTTCATTGAAGCTGAACGTTATACACGTAATAAGTGACGACGCCAATCGCTCACGACTCAAGCACGGTGTAAATTTACTAATAAAACTAAGCAACTGGCAATGGAGGAAATAATGTCAACCAATGGGTTACAGCTATGTTTTGGATTATTTCCAGTACTGATTTGACATAATGAACGAAGTTTCAACTAGCAGACGCATTAAGGTGAAGTGTGGCCAAAAAAGTGCCCACATCAATGAGTATGGCCAAAACAGTATGGTATAATAACACCAGAGCACCATGCTGTCCCAATTCTTCGCAAACCAACGACTTGGTATCAATTGCTCCGCTGGTTGCACCGAAGCAACAGAGTGTATTACTTGCTCAAGACAATTTCCATTTTCAGAAACTCGAACCTTAACTGCTCCAAAATGTAGTCTCACACCGATGTTTCAAAGAAGAGTTTCATACTTGTTTGGAAACGTGCTACTGAGCAAAGTCAGTCAGTCAATCGGTCAGTCAGTCAGACAGGCAATCGGTCTGTGTCAATGACTAGTTATCCTTTCGGGTCGCGGAGACAGGCACGCCACACAGTGCTAGCAACGTTCCATATTCTGTGCCAGCGTTTTAACTTCGGCAGAAAATAACCTGAACTAAAGCAGATCCCTTCAATACACTTGCTCAGCATATTCTTAGTCGTTTGCCGGGTCTACGGCTGGGCCAGAAACAGTTGCCTAGCCTTCCTTTCTGAAGGCACTCGCAATACGTGCCCAAACCATCGCAGCTGTGACTTCTAATCTGGACAGGCATTGGCTGTACCCCGAGTCGCGCTGGCGTATTTGTACTCTAAACAATATCAAGATGTGGGCGCAGCGATTCGTCTCAAAATACTTATTTTAGCCTCTTTTATCTGGAATCGAAAATTTTCAGTCATGACGCACGATTCTGGACCGTAAGTGAGCATCAGAATGAAAATCAACTTGAAAACAAACAGGCTAGTCTTAAGCCTAAACTGTGCTTTAGTGAAGACATCGCGGCCCAGTGTTTTTTCTCTTCCTCCCATTTTTCGTCACCAGTTAACACGACCTTAAGTACGTTAAGTTCTCCCCCTGTTCCACTGGCACCTACTCCACTTTTTTCCCCTTTATATGCACTACTTCTGCGGTAGGACAACGAGGAATAATCTAGATTTTTCGTTGTAGATACGTTCAAAGCCATGCCATCCACCTTACACTCTACTGCGAACCTTTTCATAGCGTTGGAGATCAGTTTCAGAATGTGCAAACAAAACAAGGGCGTCTGCAAACAGCAGCCTTCTCGTCTCGGCATCTCCTAAGCAGATACACTCATCGTTCCCACAGCGCCTGACAGTTCTATCGATGTATATCACAAACAGAAGTGACAAAACACAGCCTTGAAGGAGAATAATCCCAACGCAGAAAGGTCAGGACTTAAGGCCATTTACTTTGACGCAACACCTGCTATCAACATACAGTAACTGGATGACTCGTAGGAATTGGGCATTCAGCAGATATATTCGCAGGGAAACTCATGGCTGGCTACGTGCAATCCAGACATAGGCTGCTTTCTTCATGTCTACAAAGCATGCGTAAACTGGATGAGCGAATTCCACTGATTTTTTAACAGTATCGCGTAATGCGAAGATCTAATCAAAGGAGTTTCAGTCTGGGCTTGTACCTTACAGTCAGTTATTTAACGGAATATTCTTTGTAACCTTTTTTGCATAAACTTCCCCCGCTGTGTCAATAAGGTAAAGCTACAATAATTTGAGCACCTCCTATGGTCTCTTTTCTTGAACATGGGTATTACTGTTTCTATGCCCTCGTTCAATGATCTCTTGCCTGTAACCGTTTTCAGTTTCACAGTCGTGCGCTAGGTAAACATGGCTTGTTCGCCGAAATTTTAAAGCATTCACAAGCGAATTTAATTGACTCCGGCAATCTTCAAACATTTTAAGTTGGAAGTTAAAGTTCTCAAGCAGTTTACAGCTCTTGTGACTTCATCTACTGAAAGATTATTGTTGGCTGCCTGCTGCCC